CCCCTTGACATGCGGCTCGAGGGGATGCCGTGCTCACAGACACTGCTGCTCTGCTCATCTGTTCACTGAGAAATCTATTCCTCCCTTCACCTGCCTGGCCCCCCACTGTTCCCCTTATTTGGAAAGACTACTCTGAGTGAAATAACTGGTAGGTTGAATTCTAACACAACCCCCCACCACACCTCTCATAGACTGAGTCCTGAAAGAGCCCCGTTCTCTGGGAAGCCACCTTTTTCTGAAGACCTGTGCCCTCTGGTCAGCCAAGGCTTTGATCCAGAAATGACCGAGAGCCGGGAGCGTGAGGATGAGGAGGATGACGGTGGCAAGGAATTTTCAGGCAGGCCCAGGCCCCGGCTCCCCACGCCCAGGAAGCCCTGAGCTCTGCTTGCATTCTTTTCAGAAATGTGAGCCCCCACCTTTCCAATTTCCTCTTACACCTCTTGTGTAGTTCCCGCCCCTGCCTCTGCGTGACAGCGTGGCATGCATGCAGCCCATCTGGGGATCAGGGAATCCTATTGGGTATGCCAGCTTAATGAAATACTTGCAGTTTATTAAACACAGGCTTCCCTAAGCCCCCAGTGCCTGTGGGTATTTGAAAACCGAAGGTAACCCCCAGCTACCACAAACGTAATTGTTACATGTGTCCATGCATTCCTGCCGCAACCTCAAACTCCCGCTCTTAAGCGGCACACAAAATTAGCAACATAAAGTAACTCCTAGTCAGACAAGACCGTGAAATGTGGGGAAACGCTGCGAGGGGCTCCCAGGGCCCCTCAGGGCCTCTAAAAGTATATGAAGTTCCCATTGCCTTGCAGAGTTGGAAACGGGGAGGGCGCGCCCCCCTCCCCCCCGCCCGCCCCAGGCTGTTCATGTTTGCAGAATTGGTTCATTATTAGCCAGGCAGGCCTCGCTTGTCAACGTCGCATGATGTAGTTAGAATATTTCAAGTCCTGTTTCAGCCATGGCGTGCTCCTGGTGGCAGCGGGGCTAGCAGAGCGCGCCGTCTGCGGGCTCCCTCTGGAGCTGTATTTCTGTTCCTCCTCCAGTGCTTGGCTGGGGTGAGCTGTCCGCAGTCGAGGAAGGGTCATGGAGAAAGCCCAGGTGACCTGGAACCGGTGGCTCTGAACCCGGGGCAGGTGGCTCCTTGGGGATGTCTTCCCATTCATCAGTCTCCTCAGCCTGGGGCCTGTAAATCAGGGGTGAGGGGCTGACGTGGAAACAGCAGACAAAGGCCTCCAGGGAGGTGCCTCCCTCTACGTGGACCACCATCTGGATCCCCGCGAAGGCGACTCTGTTGATGGTGCTCAGGGGGACCTGTTCCAGGAACCTCAGCACCAGCCCGTTGACCCACACGCAGCCCCTGCGACTCAGGGCCTTGAGGCTGAAGGCCAGCAGAGCACTGCCCTTCTCCCGGTAGGGCTCCAGCGACAGGTGCTGGCGGGACAGGCGGGGGAGATGCAGCTGGAGGTGGGCGTCCAGGCCCCGCCCCACCAGAAGCGGGCTGGTGTCATGCTGCAGCCTCTGTGGAACAGTGGCGAAGACAGCAGAGCCCTGGGTGGGGTGGTACAGGCTCATCCGCAGGACGGTGAGGGGTCTTTCCATGGGCGGGAGCCTGGGAAGGATGGAACACAGACACACTTATGGCTCCCTGAGCCCAGACACACTTGCCCAGCTCAGGGATCCCAGACCACCTCCAGTCAAACAGAGCCAAGCACTGACCATGGATGCTGTTATTCTGGTCAAGCCAGGAGGGAGCCAAGGCCCACGGGTTCTAGCCCCAGCTTCATTTCTCCCAGCCCCTGTGAGGCGGGCGTGCCACCTGAACTCCCTGAATTTTCATTTTCTTTTCTGTAATATAGGTATGCCTGACCTTGTCTATGCCAAGTATAAGGCACTCCAGCATGCTGGGTAGGGTTCTGGTGACCTGTATTTGAGGACAGTTTGGCCCTGCTACATGGAAAGGGAAGGACAGACAGACAGGATACACCGTTCTCATTTCTGACAGTCACATGACGAATGCTTGCCAAGCCTTCCTCTCACCAGCTGCTGGGGTTAAGCAGATGTAAGAGAACAAGCCCTTGCTTTCCCTAGCACCCAGCTGGTGGGAGAGACAGGAGCTTCTAGAATTAGGCATATGGAGAGGCACAGAAGAGGGGAGCCCTGCCTGCTCCAGGGAGATCAGAAAGGCTGCCTGGGGACCCGAAGGAGGAATAAAAACAGCTAGCACATTCCCATGGGAAGCCACATGCTCGTGGGCCTGAACACCACGAACATCCCATCCTCACTGTCTGGGGCAGAAGGCAGATCCTGACGAGGAAGGGCTCTTGCTCAAGAACTGACCAGGGCTCCATGGAGGGCCACCGGCAATATCTGCCACAGTGTGGAATGCACACTCGGTCCCAGCAACTCCATCGCCAGTAACGTGTCCTTTAGAATCTTTGGCATATGTGGGGAGACTGCTTACAACGGTCAGCTTTGCTCACGCATGCATTTGAGGAATACAAACTCTACCACAGCCACCCACCCCATGTAGTCTGGGACCTGCCCCCACCTTCAACAGAAACCAACCTTCGACAGGGCTGAGTGGATTTGAACAAAGGATTGTACACTTTCCTGGCGCCAGGCTTCTGCTTACACAGTTTGTATCCAGATACTGCTCTCTACAGGCCTGGTCCAAATGTGAGCTCTTCTAGGACACTCTTCCTCTTTCTGCCCTCTGACCCCCGCACAGGAAGATCCCCCGCACCTGGGGCACCTGGCGACCCCCACGGAGTCCATCTTTGCAGGGCATGTCAGGGTTCTGTGGGCCCTTGTCTGTCCTGCCGGAGCTCCTCTCCTCCTGTCTCTCCGAGGCCTCCCAAGGGCAGGGTGTGGTCTGAGCTGCCGCACTGCCTTGTGTTCCACTGCCCAGGGCAGACAGGCCTGGCCACAGCAAGTATCTGGAGGCGCATTTGCCAAGTGTCTGAATGAGGAGAAGTCCACACACATGAAATCAAGTTTAGATAAACCCCAAATTGGACTCTGGTCGTTAAAGGCGGTGAGACAGGGAGCCTGTCACGTGTGCTACAGGCTCAGTGTCCCTCTGAGTCCTCGACCATCTGCCCCTCCTGCCTATTGGATGAACCTGGCTAAGGTGAGGATCACTTTCCAGTCTCTTGAGGGGCCCACCTGGCTAGGCCCCTCAAGACACTCTCTTTTTTCTAACACACACGTTTACACAAATACATGCCTCCACCCACATCCCCCTGAGGGGTGTGATGTAAGCCGGGTCCAGGGCAGCTAGGTTTGGCAGCCAGGTCATCGGGCCTAGCGAGAACTCAGAGTTCACTCGTCGGAACCAATTCCACGGCTTGGGGACCCTAAGAGAATCCCTCAGAAAGAAGACTTCACCACCGCTCCTGTGACTCCAGAGCTGACAGAAACCCTGGCCGGAGCAGCTGAAACTCGTTTCTCCAGGACCCTCGCTGTTCTGGGGAAGCAGAAGCCCAGCCCTGCCAATGCCGCCCCTGGAACTCCGGGAGGAAGACACTCTGGGGTGTGTGCCTGACAAGAAACCAACAGGGCCCTGCTTCAGCCCCACCAGGCCTCCTCCCCTCACTGCGGGTTCAAATCCCTCTACCCTCCACCTACCTTAACTCCACAGGCACATCTGGCTCTGGCACTTTTGCTGTGAGCTCTCAGGAGGAAGTGAGTCCCGGGCACTTCTAAGGATGACATTTACGGCGGCAGTTCAAGGTTGTGATGTGTCAGAATGCTCACCAGTTTTTTTGTTTTCTTTCTTTTTCCTTTTAGGACAGAAAAGGGAAGTGTGAATTCCTATTGCAGAAGTGCAATCCATGGCTGAGAAGTTGAGAAACCCCAGCCTAGGCCCCCAGCTAGGAGATGCCTCTAGTAAAGGGGCTCCCTCGTGGGTTTCAGCTTGGCCAGTTTCTATGGCCCCGACCCCGGGGATCCTGGGAGCTGTGTCCAGGGTATTAGCCATGTCCTTCTTCTCCCCTGCCAGTCGGGTGGGGGAAAGCACTCCAGGCTTGTTAGAAAGGGGAGCCTAGCAGCATAATCCGTTCTCTTTTTCCCATCACACCCTATCCTGGGGACTCTAGGAGTGTATACAGGGGAGAGGTGCAGGCCAGGCCACCCCTATCAACCAGCAGGTGCCTCCCTGCTCTGCCTCACTGCTCCCAGGCCCACTGCTTACTCACTGCTCATGGGTGACCCGTGAGGTCCCAGAGGTCTCGGCAGGCCACACCCCAGGGGACCATTGAATTTAGGTCCCTCTGGGAGCTATTCAGGGCTCCTGGCCTGCTTCCTCTATTCTGGTTGCTTAGTAACTAAGAAGGAAAAACAGAGAACGCTGAAAACAGTTACCTGTCCCTGCCTGCCCCAACCAGTATGACACCACCACCAAGGGTCTCCCAGGGAACCAGCTCCCCAGAGATGGGAACTGTATCTGCCCTTGGAGCAAACCAAGCATTAACCCCAAACTGGAAACAACACAAATGTCCATTAACAGGGGAATGAATAAACAAATTGTATAACGTGTACATTGAAATGCTACACAGCAATAAAAAGATAATGAACTAATGATGCATGCACAATGTAGATGAAGCTCAAAACCGTATGCAGAGCAAAAGAAGCCAGGCACAGATGCCACAGATGGATGATTCCATTTCTATGAAACACCAGAACAGGCAAAACTAGCCTATGGTAACAGGTCAGAATATTGAATTGTGTCTGTAGAGATGTACCAACCGGCGTATTGGTTTCTTGGGGCTATCATAACAAAGTACCACAAATTGGGTGGCTTAAACTACAGAAATGTATTGTCTGGCAGTCCTGGAGGCTAGATGTCCAAGCTTGTTTGGACTTGTTGGAGTTGTTTCCTTCAGAGGGCTGCGTGAGAATCTGCTCCAGGCCTCCCACAGCTTCTGGTGGTCTGCTGGCAATGTTTGGCCTTCCTTGGCTTATGGAAGCATGACCCTGAGCTCTGCCTTCATCCATGGCATTCTCCCTCCAGGCAGTGGCTCTAATCGCAGCATTTCAGGCATGCTGCTTGGCTTGTGAGGGAGCCATGTGCAGTCTGGGCAGCGAAGCTAGAGCCCAGGCTCTTGCCAGTACCACCCCCCTCTCAGTAGAGGCAGCTGTAGATAAACAGAAGCTCATATGGCCACTTTGAAGAGCTTCAAGGCTGTAAATGCACATGGGACTGAGCCTACAGAGTGGAAGGTGGTGGGCCATGTTCCACAGCCTGTCCTCTTTGCCCGTCGGTCTCCCTAGCCCAGACTGCCTGGCCAAGTGAATGTCTCTGGACCGTGGGAAAGGGCCTCCTCCTCATTACCTTCCAGTCTCGATAATACTCAGGTGCTCCTGCCCACCAGAAGAGCAGGGCAGTGGGCGCCGGCAGAAGCCTGGCAAGGAGATTTGCTCCTGCTACGTGTGTGACCTCAGGTTAGTCCCGTCCCTCTCTGGGCCTTGCTTGTCCACCTTTGGGATGGGACACCTCCCCACTGTTCCCTGCAATGGTAAGGGGAGGGCTATGTCCGTACTCCTGGCATGAGAGAGTGGGCGGGCAGAAAAAATGTGTTCATGGCTCCTGTGTAACTTGGTTCAGAGCATATTGTGTCTGTAGAGAGAGAGAGAACTGAAACTTCCAGGGAATTCATCTGGCAAGAGGAAGCCCTGCCCAGGCTGCATCTTCCAAAGGCCAGTAGGAAGTAGAACGAAAGCAGGGGAAGCGGAGGTGCTAGTTTCGCTCTGCTTGTCCCCCTTGGCTAGGATGACCTCCTCCAGTTGGTGTTGGGACCCTGGGACACGTACATCAGCGAGCAGATGTGCCCTGTCATGTGCTCCTTGGAGAACTCAGGGACAGAACAACAGCTTCTGGGGCTTTCTACAGGGGTGGGCAGGCAGGGACTCTGGTATCAGAGAGACTTGGGTCTGGAGGCTTGTGTGACCTCAATAACTTACTCAGCCTCTCTGAACCTGATTTCTGCTCTGGAAAATGAGGGTAATTTGTTGAGGGCTGAATGAGATAAATGCCAAGGGCCAAGATAAATGAGACCTATTCTTGGCTGAACCCTTACCAGCAGAGTAGAGTGAAGAGGCATCCTGGAGACAGAGGCTGGCAGAGCAAACTAGCAGCCTGCACAAACCCCAAGTTCTCAGAAGGCTCCAGGTTTTGCTGAAAATAAACATAATTTTGGAGTTGAATACATAATTTGCATGAGTCTAACATAAATTCCCTTGTTAACAATAATGATATCAGAAGGATTCTCAAGGTTATTGTTCAGAAATGTGGTCCTAACACAGGAAGGGAAGGCTACTCACTTTACAGATGAGGAAGCTGAGACTCAGTGATTAGTTGACTAGACCTAGGTCACATGTATGGAAGGTGTCAAAACCAGGACTTGGGTCCAGTCTGTGGGATTCTTGGACTTACCCATGAAGCTGTCGTGACGGATGGATGGTGCTCTCATGAGTCCAGCTGCTCCAAACATCTGTTACAGCTGGCTGCCGGCAGTACACTAGGCAGAGAGAGGGACCCTGCTTCCAACCCGCCCAGCCAGAATATATACTACCTCTCTCCTACGTTCTTCTGGCCCTCG